GGCTGTGTCCCCTCCCAACTTCTTGTGCACCCCCAGCCTGCTCGCTGGTGGGGTGGGGTGAGAGGCAGAAAAGGCCTTGACTCTGTGCAAGCCCTGCTCAGCAACAACAAAAACATCCCTGTGTTATCAACATTGTTCTCATCCTAAATCCAAAACACAGCACTGTACCAGCTACTCTGAAGAAAATTAACTCTATCCCAGCCAAAACCAGGACACTGAGAACATAAGTCCCTGTGTCCCAAGGCCAGGCAGAGCTCCTCGGGCAAGCTGATTTCCAGCAGATTCTGTATGTGTTAGAGCAGCTCCTTTCCTTTGCCTGTCCTTAGCAGCCAGAGTAGCAAGTACAAGGTTTTAGTTACCACTAGAAACCCAAACCATGGATTAAAATGCAGATGGCTAACACAGGTGACCTCAAAGGAGGGTTTCCCGTGGATTAAAAGCAGCAAATGCTGCCATTGGTTTGCATTGCACTGCGATACCACCTTGGATACAGTTGTGCTTTTGAAATCAGTTACCTTTAATAAAGGCTCCAAACTGATGTTTCTGGAGAAAGCAATGCCAACGTGCGGTCAGAAGAAGCAGTGCACTAAGAAATGCACCTTGGCCTCACGTGGGTCTGTGTGCAAGGGTAAGGGCAGAGGTCTGGTGTGCAGATCTTTAACATAGTCAGCTTGGGCCTTGAAACATAAGACTCTTAAGTACTACTGCAGTAGGTGTAACTGCAGAAGTGCTTCACAGGGCTAGTAAAACCAAAAAAGAAAGCAAATTCTTTCCATGTCATAAACCTGTGAAAGCATACGAGTTGACTCCATCTGAAGTTCGGTATATTGCTTAGACACTTTTCTAGGTCGAGTGAACAAGTTTTTAAATAGCTTCGTCCCTGTCGTTGTGGGTGGCAGACGGCTGTCACAAGAGGATGCTGGTGTTACTAAGTTCATCAGGTTTAGTAAACCACCGGGTTCACGTCCCAGCGCAGTGCACCCATGTGCTGTAGCAATGGAAGCGGTACCTTGGGCAAGACTGTTACAGAACAGTACAGGCTGCTCCTCCTCAACAGCATTTATCAGTAGAGAAAAATACAGGAACCATTTTTCTAGGCTACTGCCCTGGAGAGCCACCAGCAGGAGGGATGGAGCACGGCATCTCCTCCTGTGGACCTTACATTGCAGATCTGCCAAAGGTGGATCTGGCATCCACTGTCACCTAATGCTGAGAAAACTCTGTGTGCATCCTGCTCTGCTGGGAAACACGCTCCCCCATGTGAAAACACGGCCCCTGTCATATTGCCAAGATCAGTATATCCTAGGGTAATGTGCTGTGTGACAGTCTCAGAAATTAAAGTTGCCTCGGGGTTCCTTAAATTCATGCATCTGAATTGCACCAACTTTTCTTTAGAAGGAGAAAGAGAAAATACATATTTGGGCAATACAAATTAACCTCTTTCTTGGGCCAGAATGTTTCCTTATTGTCCACGGCTTGGCTCCACATCCCGTCCCTGCCATGCTTTGCTAAAAGCAGCGCTCCCTTCCAGCAAGGGAAAATCACAGCTGAGATTTCTGTGAAGATCTGGTGGAAGCGTCACTCAGACTCCTAATACATTTTCATCTGCCAAGGAAGAGCTGAGAAATGTTTTCAGCCCCTTTCTGTAAGACTGTTCATATTACTAATGAATAATGGGCACTTTCTATTACGACTTAAACCTGATGTTGCTTTCTATAAGCAGTAAGATAGCATCAGCATCACCACAGTCCAGTATTTTACTATATAATGTCCTAAGCTGCTCTGCAGAGTGCTTATTTGTTTGATTAATTTTTGTTTTCTACAGAGGTTTGCTAAGAGCGAGACTTTAATCACAGTGTAGTCATTTAAGAATAAGTTCTAGAATTATAGCTGAATAATATTCATTCAACGAGGACTTGAAAGACTAAATCCATCATTTAGATCCAGTGCCCCTGAATGTTTTTATCACTAAAGTTTGCTAAATATTAATCTGAATTTTTTCCCCATATTGCAGGTGCTCGAAAGATTATTTCAGAAGGGATTTAACGTGGCAGCTTCATGCGGTGGTGGGGTGGATTCCTCTCAGTTCAGTGAATACGTGCTGTGTCGCGAAGACAGACGACCACAACCTACCCCAACAATCAGAATAAAACAGGAGCCCCTGGACTAGTCCCTACCCGTACTCCTTTGTAACCGTAGAAGTGTTTAATAGTCCCTTATGTGAAACACTAAGGATTTGCAAAACAGTATTAGCAAACAGATTTTGACTTTATGTTGCCAATTAGTGGTATTCTGAAACTACCTGTCACATAGCCAGCCATGAAATGCATTTGAAAAACCAGTTGTCCGTTTTTCACAATGAAATTCCTGAGCATGCTCAGCGTACCAGCCCTGCTGGGAATAACGTACTTTGGGCTGAAACAGCTGTGGTGGTGAAAAAGGCAAAGCTTCGTAAACCCCTGACCCTAGATTGGACTTCTGCAGAAAGACCAAGTAAAGCAATTTGAGTAGATCAGCAGGAGAAACGGTTCTGACAGCCTTTCCGACGATACCCCGATGCTGTGACGTGTGGAAGTGGGCACCTCCGAGAGGAAGATGGTACACGAAAAACTGCACTGAGTATCTTCCCTGACTGCCGCACCTCCTTCATATCAGACGTGCTTTACACCTCCCATACATTACATTACACTTCTGTGATTGTACTCACTCATGCTAGCAAATGGCTTATTTTTATACAACATTTCCAACTGAAATATCTCTCTGTGGACAGAATCCAGAATCAGAAAAGGACAGATTTATAGTCAACTGGTGCTCAGTACTAAAAAAAACCACACAAATGAAACAAAACAGCAACAAAAAAAATAACAAGGCCGATGATGGCAATATTTGCAAAAGTAGGGATCTGGAAGCACAAAATAAAATGCCATCCACCATCACACAAGGGTCACATACCTAACGTGGAGCTGTAGTTCTCTTAAAGCCAGTCTTGTTTTGACTCGGAAACTCTTAAGTTTTGCATCATCAAAGCAGCATGGTTTGCCAAGCAAGCTCTGCCACCCCTTGTTACTCATTTACTAACCGTGTTATAAGCCCACATTTAGAAGGAAGCGTTACGAATTTTGGACAAGCCTACTCTTCATGGGTCTGGAATTTTTGCAAAAAGATGTTAAAACCCTCTACTGCCATTGTCCGATGAAAGCAGGCCACCTTTTGTTTAGATTGTTTTTCCCCTGTTATTTTAAACTATTATTAAAATACCGATTCTGTAGCTGCCCTCTATCTGTGTAATTTTCTCTATAACGAAGCCCGCTGTCTGCAGGAGGTTACTGCTCCTTCCATGAATCAGTATCGACTCTGACTTGCAGGGCTTCCTAACTCAGGAGACAGCACCATGTTTGCAGGTGCAAGGTTATAAATAGCATTCTGCTAAACCCTGTTTATTGCTGTTTAGCATGATTCACGTGTTAATCGCAATTTAGTTTCTCCCACATTAATTTATAGAATACTGTTGTAGATGCTGAATTTTAATTAAACTCTTTCTAGATGCATAAATATGGCCATATAGAACAAGGGACAGAGTATTAGACGTCAACAATTCCTTAATGCCAAATGATTACAATCAGGCAAAATAAAAGAATCACGTTTAAGACTAATATTTTCAAAAGCGATGAGCTGTACTGAATATCCAAGGTGCAATCTAGGCGGGGGGTCTAACTTCTCGAAACGGGCTGGATACCTGCCTGTGGAAAATCGGACCTCTGCAGGTTTTCTCACCTTGGTTACTCAACTCGGAAATCTCTTCTGGAAATCTTAGCCGATACGTATCGGCCTGCTAACTTAGCAGAACAGTTGAGCAAATCTGTCTACTTCAAAAGAGTTGTAAAGTTATTTTATTTTGTGGTTTTATACTTGTACGACATTCTGAAGTTGCTAGGCATTGCCGTATTTGAATATATGGCACAACATTCACCTTTGTATGTAAGATATCTGTAGAATTGTATATTATACATTTAATATTGTAAAGAACTTAACGTATAATTGTCACGTATTTGTGTATGCACATTTCTTATACAGTACTTCATGCCATAAACATTTCTGTAAAGTAAATGATCAAAAACAAGAAGTAGGGTGGAACACTCACTGTATCTCCCGTGTTGTTTGAAAGAGGTGAGAACTTTCGATTGCGTCTCCTCCGGCCTTTTGCTCCGTTCAGCTTGATGTAGCCATGTCTTACAAAAAGAGAAAAAAAAAAAAATTTATTTATTACTTTCATACATTGAGTCCACTTTAAGTTCAACGTATCCTTAAATAATCCGTTCAGCCTCATGTTTCTATCCTGTGAACACTTCTGTCCTGCCCTCCTGAACAGGGAGAGTTAGCGCTAGCAGCGGCTGAGCGCTCGTCTCTCAGCGCATCCTCTCCGCTCGTTACCTCTCAGCCAGGGGAGAAAGGCAAACGCCTCACGTTTACGTTTAAACACAGGGGCCCGGTTCTGCCACTCGTGCTCAGGCCAAGCCTCCCCCGAGGGCTGTCTGCAAGTCGGACCAGACGCCGAGTACCTGCCGAGTGCCGAGCACATCCAGCTCCCGCCGAAGGCGCAGGCAGGCAGCGCTCTCGGCCTGGAAGCAGGATGCTGCTTTTAGATGTACGCAGAACGCCACTGGAAGTAGTTGTGGTTGGCTGGTTGGTTTTTCTTCAGTTTGGTGTTCACCGTACTTCTTTTTTATAGCTCAATAAAGCAGCTCCAGTACTTCGGGCAGCTTGCTAAGGTGGCATCGTAAAGGGTTCCAGGCTGCGCCAGCCGAGTTAAATGTGAACTTGAGATGGAAAGTGTGAGCCATGACATCACAACATTGACTGCAAAATAGCACTAAGGCAAGGAAGACATGTGGAAACAATCACTTTGTTAGAAGAAATACGCCTTTTAAAAAAAAAAAAGTTAAGCTAGGACATGTTCCTTTAGTTAGTAACTTCAGGTCACTTATTTAAAGTTTATTACAGCTTCATTTATATCTTTTTTACTTCTGTCCCTGTATTTTTAGGCAGCAATATCAGCACAAACCGATTTGAATTTTTACTTCTGGCCTTAAACCATAGCAACATAACTTAATTAAGAACATTGCTCAGCGTCGCTAAAACAGGTTTTAAAATATCACAGAAACTCCAGTAAAGCTGTGGTGCGCAGCCAGCTAATGTTTTTATTATGAAGGCCAAAAAGTAAACGTAGCCTGGTTTTTCACCCAATTTGACTGAACAAAGTTGTTCCGATTCTCTGTTGCTGAGCGCTGAAACTGTGGCTCGAAGAACACACGTCTTCGCTAGCACTTTCTGTACAGCCCTGTGACACCACTGTGCTCCCAAGTCTCGGAAAGAAAGCGAAAGAGAGAATGTTATGTTGTGCTTATTGGACTAATCGTTTTTGAGAAAAAAAAACTGTTGAGTGCATTCATTCACTGTATTAATAGCATCGAGGTTTGTTGACAATTTTACTAGATGTTTGACAAAGGATAAGAATCAGCACAACAAAACATTGGAGTATTTGGTTTTAATATTTCTTTGTGGGTATTCTGTTAATAAAAAATGCAAAATGTTTCTGAACAGTGCTTAAGAACTACAAGACAATGTGAAATTCATGTTTGATAAATTAATACTGTATGTCACTCGATGTGTTACTTTAGTAAATTGTTTTATTTCTTTACAAAATAAGTACAAATAAGGGAGTATGTTTTCACACAAATTGGGGGTATTTACGAGTATGTACAGAAATCATCAAAATAACTGAATTCTAATAAACACAAGGCCATGTTTTCACACAAATTGGGGGTATTTACGAGTATGTACAGAAATCATCAAAATAACGTAATTCTAATAAACACAAGGCCTTTATAAACAATATGTACAAATTATCAATACATTTAAAACGTAATTTTACACTTCCTGGCCTTAAATACCTTATGAATAATCTTTTGGCTAAATAGCAGCAGTATAAATTTTCTTCTGCTTTTCATAAACCTTAAAAAATAATTAAAACTTTTGTTTTTAAAACTATTGGACAAATAGTTCTATTTGTGCTTTCGCTATGGTTTCCCATCAGAAAAAAAGTATTGCCTCAAAAAAGTGGCAAGCATAACATAGCAAAAATTGAAAAGATAAATAAGCAAATGTCGCCCTTCCATGGTTACTGATAATACTGTTATGTTTGAAGTACAACAACTTGTGCCCCCCTGCCTGCTTAGTTTTCCTATCCGATACCCATTTAAAAGACTCGCACTGACTTCGCTTGGCTTTGGTGTGGGTCCCTTAAATTCCAATTCAGCAAAGCATTTAAAAAGCATTCATCCCACCTTTAAGTACTTAAAACTACTCATTATGCGTAAAGTCATGCGCTCGTTCATGAGCCTCTCCGGACTGGAGTCCTCGAGTCCAACTGTCCAAGGCAAAGGCATCGCCAAGTCCCTGCGGTGCTGCCCTGACCACCCGGCGGCACCGGGCTGCCAGGGCTCACCCCTGCTCTCGCGATTCTCTACGAGTGGAACCGGCCCCCAAAAACTTCCTTTACAGTGACTTTAAAAATCCATATAGAACACTCTAAAATCTTCACTGAACAATACTCTCTTTTAAAACCACCATTAAACCATACTCTTTGCAATAAATAAATTAAGATATTTTTTAGAAAATAAAACCCAACTTTGATTCATGTTACTAACCAGCTGCTACAAATGTGCAAAAGATTGAAGAGACTTAGAAAACAACTGGAAGCCAGTCAAGGTAACTCAGCTGGGACCCGAACGCACAGATTTCATACACTTAGGATTTGGTTCAGCAAATGGCTCAGGAAATGAGCTGTGCGATAAAAGCAAAAATCCTAAATATATAAAATCTGTGAGAGTGTGCAGTGGCTATTCTCTTCGCTGTGCAAAAAATTGCAATTATAACTAATCTAAAACAACAACAGGTATCACCATGGTTAGTCAGTGGAAACAGTGCTAGTAAAACTAAAAAGAAAACCAAATCAGCACCGTAAGTGAGCATACAGGTTAACACCATGGTTAGGTCCCAATCCTGCCAACCCCTCCCAATCCTCCTGCCGTGAGATGGTTTAGGTGAGCCATTGCAGCAGTCTTTCCATTTGCGTAACTTCAACGCCATCTGCATCAGCCTTATCTAAAATGGCCAAACGGAGCAAGACTTTGATGTTGGTTATATCTGTGGACTTAACATTTTAAGACCTTTTGCACATTTTTTGTGTGTTTTTTATAATTTTTTTTTTTTTTTTTTTACATAAAGGGAATTTATTGCATGTGTCTGACAATTTTACAAAACAAAATTACTGGAACATTGACTTCTGAAAAAAATAGAAGGCACATTAAAATGACAGCTTTTCAATGCAAGTTGAGCTTCTGTATGGAGAAATCAGTACAATTCTTGGCTTTATTTAAGCAGAGCTCGATAGAGCAGGAGAGAATGGCTCGTTTCTCTTTCCTGTTCCATGTAGAAGATGAAGTCCCTGAGGTTTACGCGAGTTATTTTCTGTCGTGCATACTGCCTGGGCGAAGGAGTCCCCAAGCCAGCCTGACTCCCACCGGACATACCGAGGCCCTACAAAGAAAACACAGCAAAGTCAAAAGTCCTGCAACAGTGAAGAGTTTCCTCATACTCTCAGGTTTACAACTACTAACTGCCGGCCTGTTTTAAACATCTTAAACGGATTATTATGAGCCTAATTCTGAAAGTATTACATGGAATTTTGTTTCTTTTTTTTCCTATTCTTTGGAGTCTCACCAAGTTAACCTGTGTAAAGAAACTCAAGTGAAACCACACATGAGGCTAGACCTTGCTCATTGACAACTCGGGACAAATATGTCTGACTAATTCTGCTACAGTCACGTTAACCGTACACATATTTGACCAGTTTAATTTCAGGAGCCTTTTAAGGACAAAAGTATTTGCAGCAGATAAAGCCATCTTTAGTATATCAAATGTGTGCACCATTCTACTCTATATCCTGGGTCTAGGACTGGAAAGAGGTGAGTGGTGTATCGGGATGTTGCTACTGCAATAACCTCCGCAGCTGCAAGTCCCGCGGGGACCCCGATTCTCTCCTCCGGGTCTACTGAAGAGAAAGGCTCAGTGTGGGGAGACACTGAACAATCTTGCTCGGGTACACAACCCACGCTCAGCTGAGAGACGGAAAAATCATAAAGACTCAGACATTGTGCGATGATAAAGACAAGCATTAATATACTGTTTTCTACTGTTTTCTAAAGTGATGTTAAATATATTTTTTTTTAATCAGTTCAGAGCTACTGAATTACTGAATACTTCATCGTGGCTTTCCTTCATCCTTTCTCTCCTAGAGAGAAAATTCACAAACTGGGCCTGAGAACACTGTAATCTGAATATTTAGAAACTGAAAGGACGCTCTGCAGTCCTGTTGAGTTTAAAACTGAAACCTGATACACACACACACATTCAACCCTTTTTTCATCCTTAGGAGACCATTGTTTTTATTAACTCCAATTGAATTCTGACAAAATAAACTTCTAACTTAGAAAAATAGCTTTTAATCTCTAAAAAGATTTAGATTATTTTTCAAACATCTAAGATATCTGGCAAAGTTTTCAATACTTTTAAAATCCCAAATTTACTTACTGCTTTACTTACTTAATAACCTACCTTTCTTTCCCCAGGAAATACTTATTCTAGGATCTTGATTCTATAGCTATTAAAAATACAGTTAAGCATAATTTTACTACGGAAAGATTGTAGGGGAAACATATATGGTATATTGCGAGTAAGACGTAGCACTGTTTTCTCTGTTGCTTTTCGCTCTGTGTACTGGCAGTCAGACTCCTTGCAGAACTACACCATTCAAGTTATTTCTCCTATATCTGATTATTAAATTACAGTAGTGGGGCAAATCCTATTCTCTTGTAACTGCAAACACAAAAGGCTTAATGTAGTGAAATGAATGTGGCTAAGCTTGCAGGCAAGAGAGGGAGAAGCCCACAACCTTTGAGCACCATGAACATTTGATCCGAGGGATTCTGTTCTCCAGTATGGAGTAGTTTTTGTTAATAGATTAATTGATTTACCACCTAACCTCACTGCTCATAGCAAAAGCACGTGCTGCAGCTGCAAGGGTTGCTCATCCGTGCTGAAGCCAGACACATCCCCAGTGCACAATCCATTTATTTAGTGGTGCTCTGAATTCAGCCTTTACGCCAAAACGCTTTGCATTCCTAAAAGAAATAGCATCATTTAAACTTGTGCTCTTCATCTTCCACAGGTCTGGAATGATACCCTACCTTAAGCTACCCCTTGCCTGCACTCTGACTGTGTATCCACTTTGCCAGGGCTGTTGCCACTATTTCCAACTCTCCGAGGAACCACTGTTTATGTTTTTATTTTAAATCAAGCTGACTCAAAAATATTTTTCTTTCTTCTCTGTTCCCCACATGGTGCATCTCTCCCCCCCCCCCCCCCACCAACCAATTATTAGATTCATCCTTACTACAGTTTCTGAACAGTGACAAACACACGTGTAAGAAATGTGGCCACCTTAAACTCATTAAAAAATACTGTCCATAGCATACCAGACTAGAACCGTCCTGCACACAATTACCAAATAGTACTAGAAAAGCTACGTAATCTTTTAAATTTTTCTTCATATAAAACCGTTTCTTGAATCAGTTGAGGTACATTTACAGCAAATAACTGCTTTCTATTTGGACAGAGTAGCTGGAATTAAGATGTGGTAAGTCATATTCATTGCATTTATCACTTGAGATACTGAACTTTTACGTAGGAAGAGCATATACTTAAATGCAACATCATAACATGACGTTAAGCTGTGCACATTCATAACTGCACTTGTGAGCCAATCAGTTACCTGCTAATGTTCTGTAATTGTTTTACATTGTGGAAAAAAACATAAGAACGATTTTAGAAAGTACAGAAGCACATCTGTAAACTGACAGAACAGTTATTTGTATCCGTCAATATGATCTCTAATTTAAATTAAAGACCAATTTGTTTGGTACTGCATTGCACTCAGAATTATTCTGCAGATGCTATATAAGAATGTAGACTACTAAATGCCACAATTTTTTAATTATATACATGAATGCAAGCATAGTTAAAATTAATTGCCAAGAATAGTGGAATTGAAGTAATGCAGATTTTTCTGAAGAAAAATCACATTTTTTATCAGCATGACAGACTTTTCATTAACCCAAACAAGCCCTGTGTTGTCTGTATCTATGGCAACTAATAAGAGTTACAAAGATAAAAGCTCCAATAAAAAAATAAATGGTTGTAAATTGTTTACATCCTTTATTTCCTGGCCTGTCACACCCAAGCTATTACCAAATCACACCCACTCAAATATACATCAGTACTAGTTTTTGTATCAGTGAACTTTGTAATTTAAGGGAAATGTAAGATGTTCCAGACCAGAAAAAAACATTTACTTTATATATGAACTCCTGCCTTTTCATTTTGAGATGGCTTACATACGTGAGTTATAGCAACTTCTTATCCCCTTCCATCTTGTCCTCTCCTTCTCCCCACTGCCTCTTCTCCCTTGCTGCTTCAATCCTACTTTTTTGTAACACACCAAGGTGACTGGTGACCACTTTGAACTTGGCAGCTGCAAATCCCACAGGATAGCAAGGAAGACAGCAGAGAGCAAACAAATTATTTTGTGCTCCACCTGTTCCTCGCAGGGCTACAGAGAGGTGTGCTACAACGGGGCTTTCCTGAGACCCCCACACAACTCCCGCTCCCAGCCGGAACTGAAGAGAAAATCAGTTCACAGAAAATCAAATGCAGGAATTTGCAAAAATGCCACGGTGCCATGCCCTCTGTTAACCTGTAACGCAAGACCCACTGAACCCCCCACACACTCCCGCTCCCAGCCGGAACTGAAGAGAAAATCAGTTCACAGAAAATCAAATGCAGGAATTTGCAAAAATGCCACGGTGCCATGCCCTCTGTTAACCTGTAACGCAAGACCCACTGAAACAGTCAAGAGTCCATCTACTTTAATGGGCTTTAATGCACTTCAGATACGCACAGCTGAAGTACATAGAGCTTACAGTATTTTAAATAACAGTGTTGGACTGTCAAGTTTAATTCAACTGTTGGAAGCTACCTAGCTTGAAATTACGGCTTAAGAAGAAGAATCAGAGTAATTATTGGTTCAGTATGCACATTTTGAAGCAATTCTGAATTTATGTCAGATGTGACACAAGATTTGGGCCAGCCATCTCAGCCTGTTTGCTATTTTCATGATTGTCCCCTATGAGAAAACTCATGCTGTTGGAAAAGCAGAATAAAAACGGTTCAAAATAAAATACTGACCAAAGACTTGGTAGATCACTAGGAAACTATACAACAATCTGCCAGAGAAACATGCTCTCACAGTCATAGAGTAGAAATTAAAACAAATAGCCCTGTGCACAGAGAATATTATAGAGAATATTAAAGAATACTTATCACAATAAACCCGGCTCCTCTACAGAGCATTCATCACCTCTTACCTCCTCCAGAAATATTCTCAGTCCGCTGTACTACCCTCCGCCCATCACAAACTTCCCGCCGCCTCCCAAACCTTCACCTTTTTCAAAACAGTCTCAGAACTACTCCATGGTCGGTTCTTCTCCCATCCTCACTTACCAGCCGGGCAAGCATCATCCCATGGGGTGGCTGACCCACCAGGCTGCATGTGCTCATCAGCCACCCAGCAGACATGTGGCCCCCAAGCCAAACTTACCCCAAAGCTTGCTCAGCTCACCCAGCAGCCTTTCTTCGCTGGAGAGACCAGCGTGTCTCTCTTTCCTGTACCTAAGCCAACAGTTCACATGAAAGTTATAGGGACTTAAAATCTCGAGCTCCTTCCTACCTCTGTCCCCCTTCTGCTACACCCCCCCCCCCCCCCCATTTGATCAGTATTTCCTGAAAGGTTTAAAGGCTACTGGAAAAGGGGACTGAGAGAGACAGACACACCTCATCCGAAATTTTCATGGACAAACTCTCCTACTGCTCAGACAGTAAAAATGTCTCTGTGCATTAAATTACAGTAATTACAGCAGCAGGTGTATGAAAATTAAACTGAGTAACACTCAGAAGTGTGCTGTTCCTTGCTTGAGATAGAAGTGCTTTCACTTAAGAAAGAACATGTAATATAAAATCTACACTGATTTTTATAACAGTGATTTTGACTGTTGAACAATTACATCAATTTTTTTCACAAATCTGTATACCTTCAGCTTTGAATTATAGAACCATGGAAATACAGTGCAATATTCTTGTCAGGAAACACAAAGATAAGGGCAAACAGAAGACTGCATTAAATATTTTATCCATCCTTCCTTCACCAGAAAACAATTCAGTCCTGACATCTCCTTTGAACATAGTCTTGAACTGCGGCTATTGCTTCTCTGTGACCCAGAGAGACAAGGCAATAATGATAAAAGATCTGCTGGTTTTCTTCCCAGGCTACATGGCACATCTTCGTGGCAGACTTACACTTCAATCTGAAGTATGAAAGTGGGAATCATACAGTAACAATTCAAAGCCAAGCTATCTATGGAGTG